GCCTTGCGGTCTACGGTTGGGAATACGAGAACCACACCGTGGCTCTCGAGATCATTGATGTGTCTTCGGAAAGGTGTTTACGCGACGCGCTGTCACAATCAAGGTCATGACGTGGAGAACGTATAGCGACCGCACTTTATGGGCCAGAGTCAATTGCTCCGGCGCGTCGCTAACAGGGAGGGGGATGGGACGAGCGGACGTGCTGCGGCGCTGCCCGCCGCCGGGCACCGCAAAGCCCCGGCATAAGACCTAAGGCATCAGTCAATCAAGAGCCGGGCCAGGCCCCGAGCAAAGATGAGGTGGAACCCCGCTTCGCCGCCGGGGCATTGATGAGGAGTTTCTGGTTGGCCAGCAGGGAGATGGCGGTGGTTCCGACTGAGGATCTTTGTCGGGGGGAGCGGGGCATGGCACGTGGTTCCAACGCACGGGGCACTCTCGTCGGATTTAGCCCATGGGACCAGTGTACCTGTATTTTTAATTGATTGTTTGCTTCCAGATCACATCATTGCATGCCGTACCAGGAATTGCGGTTCCGATTGGACGAATGAGGGCGACGAGCAGGTAGAGTCCAGAGCGCTGGAGAGTACTGGAAAAAAGATTGGGTATTGCCGCCCGTCTATCGATAAAATAAGGGCCCACTTACAAGTTAAAGCCGGAGGCAGCAATCACAGGGTCCAAGCTCCGGGGACCATCCTGGCGCCCAACCACTGCGAGCCGGCCACAGCGGCGACTTCGTAGGCTGCCAACCCGCTGGGGGATTCAGTTTCGGCCGCAGTTGCGACACAGCTCTGTTGATAGCGTTTCGATCGAGCCTTTCTCGACATTCACCCCTGGCCAAAAAATAATAATAAAAAATAAAAGGCCAAAGCCGCAGAGCCTGCCGTACCTCCGCACTGCCCCACCACGCCATGGTGGCTCCGTAGCTTGTGGGCAACGTGCGGGGCGCTTCCAGCGATGATGAGCGTTGCAGCACAACGGCAGGGATGCGAGCTTCGGGCTCTCGCGGGCGACCAATGCTAGGAGATACAGGCAGGCTGGTTGGGGCGCAGGGACAGAGGCAGATGAAATCCACCAGGTTGGTAGGTACTTAGCCTGGTACGAGTTTCTTCTCCCGACTTTCCTAGCCGTGCGGAACGCGTCGAGGACGCTGCTGAGTTAGGGGCCGGCCAGGTTGCAATTTACGAGAGTTGGTAGGTACCTAGTTACAGCGCGTTGCCTTCATTCGACGGCATCGAGCGGGTTTGGTCAGCTCCTGGGATTGCCCGGCTGAGAAGGATAGCGGCGTTTTTGTTCGTCTTCTTATCATTCAAATGGCAACGCCGAGCAGCGAGGGCGAAACCCGGGGAGGTCATGGAATGCCGCTGAGCCGAATTTGTTACCCCGTGCTCCTTGGACGAGTTCCTCGAAAAGATCCGGAAGATCGCCGACGACGCGACCAAGGACGTCCAGGCCAAGCACAAGGCAGAGGACGCGCTCCAGTCGAAGCCCAGAGCGCGCGCGAGGTGGCCGCGAGTCGAGCGATCCTCTGGTTTCTTTTGGAACACGAATCCAAGCTCGAAAAGGAGAGGAGACTGCCCCGCAGCCAAAGCTGAGCGGCAGCCTGTGTCGTGTGTGATGTACTCCAAGCTGAATCGGGACCAATGGCCGGAGACGCATCGCCTCGCTCCATCAACAGGGACCTGCCCCACTCGGCCTAATTTGCAGGCACTCCTCGATCCAGAAAGATAACACATCAGCCGATAACACCCCTAATGGTCATTCCGTAGTTGGTCCCTGAGCGTCGCGTGATAGAAATTTGACGTTGGGTTATCGGGGAGGTGCTGGTTTCCACCTTGCCTGAACGTTTTACACCACGAAGATGCAGCCCGACAAGTTTGAGCATGCGGCAGCGGGTGCGATACGTATTTCTGAATACTTTATGTCGAATTCCATACCACGCGACTTACGGCAACAACTAGGAACGCCCTGGAACCGCCTAAAAAGCCGCCGGACCAGCGCTTGACGCTTCTGCTGCACAGGCATCCTTGGCAGCCCCGGCACCGCTATTGCCACTCCCGCTCCTCCAACTGCCGGATCAGAATGGCCACCATGATGACGACGGATGCGAGGTCGAGCTGTGGGGGTCGGCCACAATGCCACGGACGCCCGCACGCTGCTGCCACACCGACCGGGCGATCCATGCCTCACCGATGCATGCCCAACTGTAAAAGGTTCGAGACGGGCGGTAAGTCCATATATTAACACGCCGCTCGCACGCCGAACCCTGGTAACACCGGAGACGGCAAAGCTAACGAAAGGGATTGCGATCAGGCTGTCTATTGCACCGCTGCCCCGGCGAAACACTCTACCTGGCATATGGCAGATGACGGATCATAGGCCTCAGAAGGTTCGCAAGCGCCGCCTGCACGGGTGGCCCGTCTCTGCACCGACTCGCCCTAAAAAGCTGGTTGGACTACAGAAGAGTGGTTGGAAGGCGCCCGCAGGCGGCCAAAGGATGCGCGCTCCTCCTTGCGCTTTCATTAGGTTTTCGACCCCATTCCTGCTGATATTTATCGGCACACATTGTGTCGCATGGGGGGCCAAGCCGGGGGGCGAATTGGCTGGTTAGCAACGCATCAAAGTTAAGACGGCACATCTGGGGCTGTTGGCCGCTTTCTATGCGAGGAGGATTGGATTGACGATGGGCAGCTCGAGCCAGGCGCCAACAGCCAGCGGCTAGGGTATGGGCATAGCTGGGTCTGGGAGGGATGGAGTCGACAACTGTTTGGTACCATGTGGGTGGTACCGAATGTACCTAGGTAGGTAGGTACCTAGGCTAGGTACATGCTTGGATATATGGTGAAGGGAAAGGGAGAAGAAGAAAAAAAAAGTGCGCTCGAATAGCTGCTATAAGCAAGACAGCAGAAGAACGTTAAAGGCATGGTTCGCAGGCTGCAAAGACCTTCGATCGGTAAGGCTGGGAAGCGCTGGGTGGGGCCAGGGTTGGGAATTTAGTTAGTCTAGTCCAGTGCCAAATGGTGCGATGAATTTACTGCCTCGAAGGGGGGTGGCGTGGGCTACACACAAAACCAAATTGCACTACACCTTAAATTCGGGCGCGACATCCCACCCTAGCACCATCGGGGTTCTCGCTGTTCCCCGAAATGCCCGGCTCGCACCAAGACGGCGGGATCGCGGGCCACCTTCTCCGCGGGCCCGCCTCCTTCACCCCTTTTAAACCTCTAATAGCCGGCTTCACTCTCCCCGCCGTCCGCATGCGAAATTGGCGCCGCGGCCCGGCCCGTGGAATTAACGATTCCCCGACCCCGACGAGCCCGTTTACCGCCTCGCGCCGCCACCGCCGCCGGTCGGGCTGGTGGCCTTGCCGACGGGCCGGCGCCGGAGCAGCCCTATTCCGGCTAAATAGATGTTCGACAGGGGGAATTGGCGCAAGGTCGCGGAGCCTTGCCAGATGTGTTTGCTTTCCAGAATAGGGGTTAAGCCGGTTTTAGGGGCTTGTACCAGACTGTAGCGAAATCAGCCAAATCACTCCCCCGTGACTGCTGCCTTGTTATGATCTTAACCCCCACTTTCCGAAGGAGACACCGCTGGTGACAACATCAGGTTGGGCCGCAACCTCTGGGATCTCATCTGGATAATGCCCTCGGTAAATGCCAACTATGATAGCCTCTGGCTTGGGCTGTTTTGCGTCTCCTATTACAGCCTACCATATCGCAAAATGGATATCGTTTCCTTTCTCTTCGGCATTTCTGGTGCTGCTGCCCAACCTTTTATTGGCGCGATAATAAGATGCGGGCGTATAAGCTGCAGGAAGCTGGATGTTATTGGCAACGCCTTTTCATCGGCTTGGTTTTTCCAAAAACCAAGCCCGGGGAAAAGGAGGAGTGCTAGCTCAATAATGTTGCAGCGTCTCGAGGGCACCTATCACAGTACGATCGCTTATATAAGGACCTTGCGGGTCGTAGCCCTCGATACGACAACGTTCCCTATTGCTTTGGTGTAACGGGTACTACCTTGGTCTAGTCCCGTGACAGCACTAGCATGGGTACTGGGCAAGACAAAATATCGCGGCGAGCTTGTTATCAGCTACCCGCGCGCTGGCATATTAGCTTCGGACTCGGAACAGTCTTGGGCTTTTGCGGCGTGGAAACGCTTTATTGGGTCTGCGCGTTTATATCGGCTCTGCTTTGGCCTGCGCCGTCCATTGCAACCTCACGTTTACTGTCTGCTTACAGCCCCGCATTCATTTCCCCGCATTTAGGACATGTGTTTTTACACGACATGCGGGATGGACTTCGGTCGAAGCCGTCGATTATCAGGATAGGCTGGCTCTCTCCACCACCACTAGGAACAACATACAAATTTTGGGCATCGAATAGCCCTCACAATCAACTATCGCTCGCTCGTGGCCTCAAGTGGATGGGCGACGCCTGAATCACACAGGAGAGCCACCAGGAGCGCGCGCAGAAGTTTACTCTTCCCACGTGCGCTGGGTATTCCGGCCCAAAATCGTGAAGCAGTTGGCGAAGAGGTCACCTCCCTGCCCGATCCCCGATGTGTTCCGATGCTATTCGCTAATCACCACCTACCCATCCATCGGGACTGATATCGCGCCCGAGCTGCCCATCCCGATACCATGAGACTAACCCACTACGGTCCATACCGGATATGGGTTTCTATTCGGTCTACTGCCGGCCGCCGACGTGTTCTGATGCCTTTCGCCCGCTCGCGAGAACCCGCGTCGGGCGCAGCCCGACCTGGCTGCTAAGTTGGGAGCCTGACCTCGAGGCCTTGCTTGAGCTGCCTCCCGTTTGCGCGAGTTTGCCGGGATGGCGCTGAAACTGACTGGCAAAAAACCAGGGCAAACTCAGTTCGGTCCAATGAAACAACATTCTCACGGTCGGGCGACAACTCGAAGGTACTCCACGCCAGCACCCAGAGGGAGGCTAGGTGGAAGGCCCGCCTTTGTGAGTCGATGCGCCGACTTGTTGACTTCCCGCCTAAAGACAGTATCGCAGTGCACCGCTCAAAATGGCAAGCAGGCTATCCATAAAAGAGAAGCTTTCATCCACATCTGTATGAAATTCTCCCAGCCAAACCAGACCAGCAAGCCTAACAAGGCCTCATCCTGCCTCGCCCTCGTCCCACCCTATCTTACCTTTGCAAATCACCATCCTCCCCTTCTCAGCAGACATTCTTCACTCTACTCTCTGCCATTCACCATCCACATGGCGGCTTCCAACAACAACTACACCATCGGCTGGATCTCAGCTGATCCTATCGAGCTCACCGCTGCACGGTTCTTCCTCGACCCTCATGATACCGACTCTTACGTCCTGGGCAAGATTGGGCCCCACAACGTCGTGGTAGCCTGCCTATCCCGCGGAGAGGGCAGAACTGCGGCCGCCTCTGTCGTAGCCACAAACATGCTGCGCAGATTTCCCAACATCCGCTTCGGCTTGATGGTTGGTACTGGAGGTGGCGCGCCAAGCAGCAAAAACAACATGCATCTCGGCGACATCGTAATCGGCAGTCCCGACAACGGCCACGGCGGCGTGCTCCATTACGATTTTAAGGAGTTGATTCAGAATCGGACGCCACCGGCCCTCCGGGAGGCGGTGGCCGATTTGAGGTCCGAACACGAGACCAACGGCCACTGCTACGAAGCCCAGATCCGCCAGATGCTGGGGGGGCAAAATAAGAAATACTCTCGTCCAAAAGCCACAAGCGACGAGCTGTACAAGCCCGAATATACGCATTCCGGGGATGGCATGAACTGCCATGCTTGTTGCGACCCGGAAAACCTGGTCAGCCGGCCAGAACGAGAGAGGCGGGAGGGTGGGAAAGATTTCGCCGTCGTTCACTACGGGTTGGTCGCCAGCGCCAACCAGCCGATGGAAGACGCGACGATTCGTGACGGGCTGGTGGGGGAGGCAGGCGTCCTTTGCTTCGATACGGGAGCGGCTGGCCTGACGAACGACTTCCCCTTCCCCTGCCTTGTTATCCGGGGCATTTGCGACTACTCGGATTCTCACAAAAACAAGGACTGGCAAGGCTTTGCCGCTATGATGGCGGCCGCCTACGCCAAAGATCTGCTGAACAGGATCGCGCCCAGCCAGCCTCCGGCGGGAAAGACGGTCGGGGGGGTGTTTGGTGCGGCTATCGCGTTAGCAAGAGGGGTCGTGGGGTTGGCAGGCGAAGGGCTTAGCTCGCTTTCGAAAGCTTTCGTAATCGCGTCGGCTAAAACCTACGCTGGGGTCGCGCGGTTGGCGGGCAAAATAACGTCCGGGTTTAGGTCGCTTTCAAAAGCTGTCGTGATCGCGTCGGCTGGTGGGGCCGCGTGGCTGGCGGGCAAATTAGCGTCCGGGTTTAGCTCGCTTTCGAAAGCTTTCGTACGCTTTCGCGGCTGGTGGGCAGAATAACGCTCGGGTTTACTTGGGGGCTGTGCTTTGTGGGCCCCCTCTGTAGAGGGGGTGCAAAAAGTCGTAATCGGTCAAAAACTCGTAATCACGGGTTTCCCCGCAAAATTGATAGGAGACACTGGGCGCCGGCGTTTAAACGAAAACAATAAACTGCCACGAAATCTCTACGCGTGGGCAATAGTATCAATCTGTAGGGAATTTTGAAGGCATTCAGAGAGTATATTTATTGTAGGGTAATATTGTTGTGGGAGGTGCAGAGGGCCGGCCAACGCCGGCCGGCCGGCACGCCTACGGGTGGTCCGGGTCGACGCAATCCGCCGGAAGTAGGCCGAGGAGTTGCTCTTCCGTTGGCGTAGGTGGTTGATCAACCTCGTTTGGCGCCTGGGAGGGTAGGAAAGGTGGTGACGAGGCCATGACTGCGGCCTGTTGCTGTAGGATAAAGTCGACCTCGTCATCCGTCTCTTGCCCAGGGCTATTGGCGGCGGCGGGGTAACCCTCTACATCCGGAAACGAAGTAGAATAGCTTTGCGTGCCGTCAGGAAGCGTATCAACGATGAAAAGCTCGTTGTCGGGCAAGTGGGAGGGCTTCTTTGGGCGACGTGGATAGAGTCGCTTGCCCTCTGACTGGAACGTGGCCTCGTCAAAGCCGGCCTTGATCAACCAGACGGCTTGAGAGATCTTCTTGTTGTTGAAGCGCCCGCCGGCATCTCTCCAGGCCTGTATATGAGCTTCTCGAGCGGCCTTCCGCATCTTGTGGATAGAAACGTCTGCCTTCCTTTGTATTTTGGCCGCTTCGGTAGCCTCGTTTTCGACGTGCTTTTGACGGAGATCAGCGAGGAGGATAGGCGTGCAGAACTGCCGGTCGGCGGGTTCGGCCATCCTCGACCGGCGGCTCCTGTAAGCCTTGCTCAATCTCGACTGACGGTCAGCAAACTCATCCTGCAGACGGCCGTGGATTAACGGCGCTTGATGCACAACGGAAACGAGGTCCGAGAAACTGTCGCGCGTGGGAGAACTTAGTACGAGGCGGGGCAGATACGTCTTCTGGAGACGCTGCGCCGCGTATCTGGCGGCAGAGAAGTCGAGCATCTCGGGCACGAGGTCAGGATATCGGTACGTTAATTCCAAAAGGTTATGCTTTTCCATGTCGCCGATGATTTTTGCCGGGTTGAGAGGCCAGATGCCGGAATCCTCGAAGCCAGTAAGTACGTGCCCGCGGGTAAAGGTCTGTTTCCAAAGAGGCTGATCGCGATCAATTCTATCAGCAGATTGCATCGGAATCAAGGTTAGGGCAGGGCAACAACTTACCCCAAGAGCTTCAATGAAATCCGACCGCGAGAACGAGATCTCGCCTCTTTCCACGACATCAAACAGTACGTTTTGATGCGCGCGTTTGAAGTGCGTAAACACGCCGACGTCCATGGGCTGCATCCGGTGAGTGGAATGTGACGGCAGGATATTGAGTTGGATATCAAACCGCTGACAGTAGTCGATTACCTCGATCCCTAGATGCCCGGCAAAGCCGTCGAGAAGAAGCCATCGCCAGATCTTCGGTCAGCCCTCGCTTTCGTAAGTGCCGCTTCCCCGCATATCGTTTTGGTCGAACTTTTCCAATAGGATTTTGAATTCGGTGGTAGGCCCGTACCCAAACCAATCCTCCAAAGAAGGCGAGCCTTGTTTGACGACGTCAGCGTGCGAGGCCCACGAGTGCTGATTGAACCACCGCATAAAAGCCATCATGATATCAGAGTTGGAAAAGCCCGTTTCCGACTTGACAAACGCCGTGCGCTTGTCTAGATCGTTATCAGCCCAATGGAGATACGGGCCTGCCGACAGGATACAAAATGGCGGAAGAGAGTCGCCGGCGGCGTTGCCGCACCCTATCAAAGTAAGCGACTCTCTGTTGGCAGGATCTGTAACCTCCGGCCGGGTGGTCCGTCAGCCTTCTGGGGTGATACTTCTGTTACTGGTAGTATCGCTACTGTCCCGGGCGATACTTTTGATACCTGAGGTGTCCTAAATATCAACCGTTTCCCTTGATACTTCGAGTGTCGGAAGCATCGCCAAGGTGAGTCACGTGTTCCTCCTTAGTCATCCGTGACTCGTGGGGTCCGTCGACCCCTCCTTCTAGCCACCTGTTGCGGCCATGGTCGTAACATCTGGCTTTTTCTATCAGCTAATTAATGTCGTTGCGGAGTGCGTCGTTGCGACGTGTACGGCAGTGCGTGATCTAGATGTGAATAGTTAATTGCAAATGAAGAAGGAATCTATTGGGGCCCACTGCAACTGCAGTGACTGACACTGGGGGCTCGCCACAGAACCTTGAGCCCTTGCACAATGATACAGCACCCCACGACAATGATGTTTCCCTTGTTTTGCCGGTCCTAGGTAGAGTTGGCGGTCAGGATTCGCGTTAGCGGTTAGTGCTTCGCGTTTCCCGGGGGGTTTGGGGGCGGTGCGAGCCCCATGTGTTGTTTGCGTGCAGTTTGGTAGAAATACTCGTGATTTGGAGGGTGGTGGCTAGGTGGAGTATGTACGGGTGGTGGCTGACCTGCGAGTCCCAGAATCAATTGGCAAGCGAGCGGGTGCAGCCACAAGCCATACGTCGGATGCGCGACAACCCGAGGTCCGCTGGACAGATGGGCTGTTTGCGTGTCGTGTCCAGGGGTATTGTTGCTCATCGCGACTGCACCCAGTCTGGCCACTGATCGGCGATGGTCCGTGATTGGTGGCTGGTTGGAGTTGCAGCCTGACCGAGCCGTTTGTTTCCATGGGCATGGGCCTCCGTTTTGTCAGCTGCCACAGAGTGTCAAGAGTCGTGGGCGGCAGCCACGGATGTACCCCCAAGAGGGCCAACGTCGAGATGGCACGGCATTGCTCTCTGCCTGAGAGATACCTATACCTGGGCCGCCTGGACACCGCCGGCCCACAGTCTGGTGCACCTTCCGCGCAGCCAGCATTGAGATTGGCTTAAGCCACCTCCACCCACGACGAGAGACGGAGGGAGCTAATGCGAGTCTACTGGGATGGACAATGAAACGATAGTTTGGGGGTTGGCTCAGGTCGGCCAACTGTATACTTGGAGTAGATACATGACATTGTCTTGCGATTGCGTTATCAACCTCGCATCGTAGGGGTTCTCCTTCAACTTTCCGTGCGAAGTTATGATCAGCCTTGCCAGTCTTCTCGGTGTAGGCTAAACCCAGCTCCATGTCCTCCTCCGCCTTCACAATCCACCTTCGCATTTGAACGACTCCAGCCCCTGAACGTTGTAGTCAGGTAAGCCGGTCGGTGTCGGTGCTGTCAAAAATTCGGATCAGCTCACAAGTCGAGGCAGTTGGGTACGTAGGAATGGTTGAGGCTGGAGGTGGTAGGAAATAAGTAGGAACCACTACCGGGACTGCCATGGCGGAGTCCAGTCCGCGTTCCACGTCGCGTCCATCCTTACGCGACTTTTCGCGCGCCCGCTTGCATTTTTCTACCCGGCACTGTTTCGTCCTGCAGCTGCAATAACAGCGGAGCAACAAATGATAACGAATAAAACCCCGTCACGGTGCGATCCCTTATAAGGACCATGCACAGGTTGTAGTCCCAGCTACAACAACGTTCCTCTTTTGCCTTGGTGTAACGGGTACAACGCTGGTCTTGTCCCGTGACACCCCCTATACGCACATTTGCCGAAACTGACTCCTTATGCCGCCTATATCCCCATCCCAAAGGCCTAACTGGTTGACTTCCCTTCGACCTTTCGACCAAATCATAAAATGGATAATTACCTTTATGCTTGCACCGTTGTCCGATTTCTATACGCGAGGGCTTACGGGCACGGGCTAACGGCACGTGACGGAATGCCAGATGGGTGGTGGCCCGCCATTCCATTACGGAAGTACTGCCATTGCAAAGTACCACCTTCCACATTTCCCCTTCTCAGTTCCCAGCCACCCACCCTTAATGCTGCGTGGATTGTGGCGAAAGGTGGAAGGCGGCTTATTTGCTTATTCTCCGGCTACCACCGCCGATGTATCCGGCGCCAGGAGTCTCTGCAAGTCAGTCCTCGCCACCTCGTACGCTATCTCTCCTCTTAACCACTGCCTCGAGGCAAATGCGGATAGCAGAACCGACCAGGTTTAGGAAAAGGCCCAGGCTAAAATACCTAAGCTTGTTAAGCTGACTTTCATGCGGGCCGGGTTGCCGTCAAGTTTTGGGATTTCTAAAAAGGAAGTCTTGTCCTCGACGTCCTCGTCTCGTTTGTACCTGCTTCGCGGCTGTCCATGCTCCCATACTCCTAAACGAGCTCAGTTCACATCATTCCATCGACCACGGAGGACAAGCCCCTATCATAGGAAACCGTACACGTTCAGCTCGACCTACCACGGTGGGACTGGGACTTTTCAGCTCTACGCCCACCACGTCACCGAGCCGACCACTCCCGGAGGACGGCCGGAGTAGCACATAACTCCAGCAGGGTCTTATGCGATAACACAGTCGTGAGACCGTCCAAGGCGCCACCGCATTTAGGAACGCTCGGGACTTGGCGAAGGAGTACCGAGGTCCGAATCAACGCCCTCTCAGCTGACCTTCACAAGCTCAAGTCCGACAACGACAATGGCTACAACAAGGTAGCTACGCTCGAGAGAGCTGGTCTCCGTGATACCATCACCGAGATTGCCATTGGCAAAGCAGAGACGATGGAGCTCAAGACGAAGCGTTCGTCGCAGGACCCGGCCAGGTTCACCGGCGCCGAAGCCAACGTGAAGACCCGCCAGGTCGCCTACGAGCACTTCAAGGAGCACGTCGAGCTGTGCCACGCGATTGACTCCGACTACTATGATACAGAGTTCGCACGTCGCCAGTCTGCTGAGTGGCGGTGCCTTTGAGCTCTACAAGGATGACTTCCACAAGACAGCCAAGAACCCAGACAACCAGGCCCTTTGGCATTGGGAGACGCTCGACCACGTCTGGGAGACCCTGGACAGGCAGTACATCGTCGTCGACCTATTCGCAGCGCGTTTATCAAATTTGACCACCCGAAACGAGGCAACCAGCACTTCCCGTTTTCCTCGCAAAGTTTGAGGCTCTGGCTCTCCGCTGCAAGAAGACCGACGTTCAGAAAGTTGACGCGCTCGAGCTCAAAGTCAGCGACGACATCACCAATGTCGCCTTGGGCGACAAGAAGCCAGCGCGTGACGGCTACAAGGGCTGGGTTGATTTCTACCAGTGGTTTGACGAGGACGTGCGCCGTAAGCAGCATGACAAGCAGCGGACGAAGGGGGCACCTCCGGGAATGCCGCTTTAACTAATGGTATGGCGTGGCGCCTTCCAGGCTCCACAGCCATTCTGCCGCCCCTCACCGCCCGACGGCCCACGGCCTACAAAGCCATGATGCCTCGACGCCGGCGCACCGCGCCGACTGTTACGGTAGTATTGCAGCCCTGTCTCTCTCGCAAGCCCAAGATCCGTTACAGCCCTCTGGAGGTTGCTAGGAGGCGTCCCCTCGAATTGAGTCTAAAACCCCGCTTTGTGTCCTTGCTCACTTCCACAGTCATTGCAACTTTAAGCTACTGTACATTAGCTCCTCGTTCGGCACGAAGTCGGCACGGCACGTGCCGCACAGTAGTTTTCGGTGTAAATGGACCTTCCACTTCCGTTAACGCATACCTCTTGGACTCGCGCTTCAAAATGCGATCGTGCGTCTTGTCTTACTCTAGAGGACCGAAATACCTGTTCGTACATTCAGCTGCTTGGGCATGGCCACGTCACAATGTACGTTTGCATTCGATAGCCGCCACAGACGCGGGCCAGCTGTCCTGCGTCCCGGTGCCGCTGAGAAAGCTGGCTCCACATTGCCATCAACTGCTGCTTCGCGCCATCCATTTTAGCTCTTGCACCGAATCATCAACGATTGGTTCACGGCTGGCTCCATCCTGTCGGCAATTCGTTTCTTTTTGCAATTCGCGCAATGCATCCCCGCTGCGGTAGTTGATCCGTCAGGATGCTCAAGGGGCCGTCCAAAAGACACCGATGACCGATTTGACCACATCTCAACAGGGCGGCATATGTGGTGGGAACCGGTTGGTCGCTTTTTCCTGCAAATGGCCATTTCGGTGGACTGTCTGCGATTGCATGACGACTGCTTTTCAGTCTCCTCTTCCTGGCCTCCATACCGCTACATCGCCTGGAAGCAAACGCAGTTTGGGCATTATTCATCCATTGCATCAAGAAATCTGCATTGCCCATGCTGCAAACTCATCCCCGGCAAACCAGCCATTGATATTTGCTTTGTTCAGCACCCACCCACTCCAGGGCTCGAGGCGGCGTCGGTGGAAGTTGAGAGCTGCGCGGTTTGCTCTCCTGCGACTTCACCACCAAGGCGCGGAACGGCTACGCCAACAAGCACGACCATGAGCACCCTCCTCCTGAGCCAACTGATTCCCCGAAAGTCCGTCGAGCTAGGCCGCCTAGTCGTCGACCCAAAGTATCCCTGCTCATCACGTCGACGCGGGATCTGCTTGTCGGACTCGACGAGCCTCTGCATGATCTGCTGATTGAACTTGAGGAGCCCGCCCAGGACCTTCTGGGCGTGGTCCCGGTACCAAAATTTCCTCTTCAACTTGGCGACCTTGTGGAGGATCTTAGCTTGGCCGTCAGCCCGACGCCGGGTCTCCCTCTTCAGCATAGCGCGTCTGTAGTTGGATTCCCTTGGCATCTCGGCAGCAGAAGGCTCAGGTCCCGGAGTCGGTTGTCTTGGAGGATCGTCATCGTCGTCGGTATCGGGGAGAGAGCTGTCGACGTCTTGATAGGGCTGCATCTCCATCACCTCATGCATCTGAAGAGCAGTCGTGGGATTGTTAGTGAGTACTTTGCGTTGGAAGGGCAGCAAAGGACAGATATTTACCAGCAGCGACTCCAGACGGCCCTCGGGGTCAGAATCGTCCAACTGCAGCTGTGATGGAAGTTAGCTGACATACAGAGAAACGCAAAAAAAAAACCGTAGAGGAGATGGTTGCCTTACGGAGGACCGACGCTCTGTATCCACAACCGTGGCCGCATCCCCCGTCTTGGTTGCTGAAGGAGAAGCGGGTGCTTGAGTGCCATCACCGGTAGCTGGGCGCGCGGCCTTCTAAGCAGCGCTGCCCAGTCGAACGTCAGGTGAAGCGCGTGGGGTTGCCATATTCGGAGGAGCCTGTGCAGCAGGAGATGGAAACAAAGAAGAAAGCAAAAGCGATGTCCCGCCGGCAAGCAAGACTTTGCCGACTTCCTTGGCATCACCTATAAGGAGCTGCTTGACCTCGAAAACCAGGGCGGCGCGCTGAAGAGCAAGGTTGAGGTCCCTGGCCTTAAGGTCACTGTGTTCCTGTATCGGCTCTACGCTGTCTTCCTTATCTTGATCGCCCCTACAAACCCGGAAGACGCGACCTTCGCCAGGATCCTGGCCGACCAGATGGGTTTCGGCAAAACCCTCCAGGCGTATCTTGTCATTTTGACCGCGGCTCGACTCAATCTTGCTTGGAACCTCGTTCAGAAGGAATGGTCCGGCCCGAACAAAACAGACAAGGTCAAGAACCACCTGCCAGAAGGAGCCATAACGGGACGCTGCCGCTGGGGCGAACAATACCTCGTGCGGTGCCCATGCAAACCTCAGTCTCCGACTCGCATCATCGCTCAGCGCCGGAGTCACAGGCTCTCAGTCGTTATCTGCCCGCCGAGATTGATCCCGTGGGTTACTGAGTGGCATAAGTGTTTGACAGCGGGGATCCGATCCAGAAGAAGGGTCTGGTGCGCATGCGCATTGCCCACGCTGACTTTTACAAAAACTTTGAGCAGCATATGATCCAAAAGAGCGACCTCTCGTCTCTCAATGTCCTATCGATCGCGACACCCCCAGCACCAAGCCCTTCTACGTTGTTTTCGTCGGCGCAAACAACATCCCGCGTCTGCTTAAAAGAGATGGGCTGCACGGCGCTGCGGGATGTCGATGCCCGCGCTCGACTGGCCCACACGGGTCTCGTTGTCTACGATGAGATCCACAAGTACAAAGGCGCGACTGAAAAAGAAAGTACTGGACCGACCCAACTCGTGAAGAGGCTCTGCGAGGACTGCCGCCCCAATGATGATCAGATGTAGATGATCATCTGAGCAACGCGCGCAAGTTGGTGAGTGCCTATCTGAAAAGAGAAAACACCCCGTGAGAGCCCCCCTGGATCCCAGACTGGCAGAGTTTGCCAAAGATCTGCCAGAGCACGCCGTCGAGCTAGGGCTTTTCGGGCGCGTCTATGCCTATGGGCAGCTTCCCTCGTTTTTCCAGGTCCGCTTTCGACCTTGTGCGCTGGTTCCTGTCGCGCTTGCAAGACGCGTTTGATCAGGTGGCGGAGGCTGCCAGGCGGCAAGGAGCCCGCTTGCCCTTCACGTGGACAACAATAGTTGGCGGAGCTGCTGCCTCCCTTGCCAAGGCGCCGTACGTTTATATAAAGGGTTCCTGGTCCCCTTTTTTCAACTTTTTCTTCTTCCTCTTACTCCTCCATCGACTCGTCCCCGCCACCAGAGCTGGCGCAACACCACCATAAACACAACTATGGACCTTGACGAGGACTGGCCCTACGATCATTTTAGCGGCGACTGGGGCGACTCCTTTGGGCAGTTGCTATCCCCCGCTGCCGACCTCGTGCTCGACGACATTGAAAGCCTCGCGGTCCCCAGCGATGGCAATTTCAATTTCGACAGCCTTTTTCCTTCGCGACACCTCGCCGCCCCCCTAGTACCCGACGACGCTCCCGATGATTGCAACATCGATCTTGATGGCCTTATCGACTGGGGCAACTACGAAGCTGGGACAACCCTAGGGCCCGCTTCGCCTACCCTCCGACGGAACTCGAAAAGCTCGAGCAGGTCTTCTTCATCCAGCCTTCCGCCCCGTACGAACCTGGATACCGAACCTCTGCCAGAGGGGATAGAAGACAGCAGCAATTCAGATAAGGCAAGATTGCAGAGGAATAAGAGAAAGGTGGCTGGGGCAATCACGTCGCCCTCTGTTCCGTCGCGGAAGCGCGGAAGGGGTGCGAAAACCACAGGAGGCAGAGCGACGAGGGGGGCCGCCAAAGCCAAAAATGGCGTGACTCGGCAGACACGACAGGATAATCCTGTGCTCAAAGGCATTCTCGGAAGGAGGCGTGGAAACCCGCGTCGCCATGCCCTACTACTGGCCTCAGGCGACAGCGACCATCCCATCAACGTCGGCGAACTCGACGCCGTCAAACCAGTATAGGGGAGGCCATGTAAATGTATATTAGTAAGGTAGAAGGTTAAATTGGCAAACCCGACGGGAACGTCAACCAACCGGACGGCGGCTAGCTCGTTGAGGTCCCCGACGAACTTTCACCCGGTGGCCTAAGCCACAGAAAGGAATTTGGCGTGGCCGTCTTTGCCGGGGCGCAACCTCCATCGAGACTTTATAAAATGGCGCGTTCCAAAAGAGCGACCGAGTCGACCGTGCTGCAGTCGCAGTAAGAGCGGCTGAGGTGGTGACGCCGAGGAGACTGCCTCCGAGGACTCATTGATAACCCGAGCACACGCAGTATGCCCTGCTGGTGCTGGAGCGCCATTTCAGCTGCCATAAGTGTCACCGGCAGTTCCCTTCGCCCGAGGCCATACGCACCCATAAGGCGAGCAGGACGCAAGTGGTGCTGCAGACGAGAAGCGCACAAGTGGTGCAGACCAGCATGCGAGCGCGTTCAGATGGGCAGACGGCTTTCGGAATGAGATGACCAATCAGCGGCCTGCCGGTGTCGAGGCAGAAAATTGCATGCAAGCGCGTGCCCTCAAGTAGACGGGTTCCAAGATTGTATATGCCTATGAGCGGGAACCTAGAACCTTCTGGATTTCGACCTGCCACAGGGTCATGCTACTGCAAGCCGGGCAAGCCGGCAAGGCTTATGCGGAGTCGACGCAAATGGGCTCCAGCAGATCGCCGGCGGCTGGACAAGATGAAGCGTCGAGGCAAGGCGGACGAGGAAATTGCATAGGCCTTGAATCGCATTGTTGGTGCGATATCACAGGGTGGAGGAAGCAGAAACTTGGGCTTGTACCTATTTAATACACAAGCTGATGTCGTCGCAGGTTGCCCGCCGTCCTGACCAGTCCCTTTGCCCGTTCCCGTCGTGTGGGGGAATCGCCAGTGGTGGAACGAAGGAATGATGGGATATTTATCTAGGTGGAAAACAACGTTGTCAACTGTACGGGCGTAAATGGCATCCAAAGCTGGAAGAGACCGGGACTGGAAGAGACTGACATCATGGGTCACGTCCTTCGACGCAACCCCCCAGCCGCCGACGCCGATTCCAGGCCGAGACTTTGCCCACGAGAACTTCCCAGCCAGTGCCGTGAGGGGTAGGTACATAGGTAGCGACCTCCTGGCCTCGACATACCAGCTGCGACCAAACAAAACCCCAGCCGGGTTTTGCAGGGGCCGGGCCGTAGCCTTGTCGCACAAAGTACTAGGCAGCTACCTACCTAGGGTAACTACCAACACAGCTGTGTGCGTTCGCGAGGTGGGTACCTCTGGCCCACTCGGACAAAAAATTGTCAGATTAAAGAAGCGTGCAAATCTTTCGGCTCTTCAAGTGCAAAAAGGCACCGCGCCGACCGAGGGGTGTTCGGATGTGGCCGGCCTGGGGGTGTTAAAAAGAACTCCTTCCACCCCTGGCAATAGGCTGTTCTCCCGCGTAGGTATGACATGCAAATTATACGCCAGCAGCGTAAGGGTGTGGAAAAAGCGCTGGTTGGGAAAACCCCTCCGACCAGCTATTGTTGCCACCAGCATGGCTTTCGCTATCCGACTCCAGGTACACGTAGCGCGTAGTCGCGCTCCACATTACTTCTTACGCGACTTTCCGCACGCCCACTGCACGTTTCATTGTATGCAAAGCAGGACTCGCGAAGGCGGCATGTTTCCAGCCGAAAACCTGGCGTCCGATTACGCATTAGCCTCCACACATGTCTGCAGAGCCTCATGGAGGGGCGTGAATTGTGTAAGCCAGCCCTGGGAGCGGGGTTTGAACGAATGCGGATAAAAGTGGACTTTGGGGTTTTGGTTGACGTGCATCCAAGACCAGGGCCCAAAAACCGTCCAGGGTAACCTGACATTTGGAGGCTGCATTGCAGGCAGACCGTTTTGTTTGCCACTAAGCGATTAGACGAGATCCTAATCCTTCCAGAAAGGTGAGCTTAGTGAATCACAGCGGCGAAAACATTGCTCCCAGCCACCCACCTCTGTTTATTTGCAGCTGGAGCTCGGGGGAAAATTAACAGCAAGATGTTTTGAGCCCAAGTTTGCGGCGTGCGGCTGCGCGGCCAGGCGGCGTCGGACTTCGGGCGTAACGAAACCAGGGCGCACGTTCAGCGCGACCTTGTTGTCAATTGCACTTCATGGCCCGCACCGCACCCCGCCTCTTTCACCAGCCACCATTTGATTGTCCTTCATCGGCTTTTGGCCACTTTTGGTAGGGGTGGTCAGCTGAAATACGCGGGGGCTTTCCGTTTCGTAAGGCTAGGAACGATGAGTTGAGTTCGCTTTTCCTCTCGCCTTTCCTCTCGCCTTTCCTCTCGCCTTTCCTCTCGCCTTTTCCGCAACGTTCCTATTCGCACGACACCAGACTGTATCGGACATCACCTTGCAACTCCCTTCGTGAGGCCAAGGGCGAAATAACTAACCCCTGTTAAGGTATTCGATTCCAAATTGCCGACACACAGGCCGCGACAACCTCTTTTGCAGATCTGGAGATGCCGGCATCAGCTAGTCCCAGCCCTCCGGCTGGCCAAGATACCCACGCCGCGGCGGCGCCGTGTTTGGCGAATGGAGACTCGTTTCCCCCGCGGACGCGATCGCCTAGCCTCCCGAGGAGAGCGCATATTTGCCCGGAGCCCGACTCCCTCTACGACATCATGCGCTCCTATCCTAGCTATCGCCTTTACGTATTGCCCATCCATTGGACAGACATACACACCGAATCTCTTGGCGTGCGGTTCAAGCAGCAGTCGCCCATCATCTCACCCGAACCCCAGCGCTACCCCAGCATGCCGCCTATACGGTAGTCGACATCGTCCTCGACAGGGCGCACCCGGGCTACAGAGTCAACGCCGATACCGTGCTGCACTTCGGGCCACCGGCCGGGATCTTACTCGCGTCGGAAACGACGGGAGATTTTCGGTTCGTCGGCATGCCGCCGGGCACGGTGCTCCTGACGCCCATGAGCATTAAGATCGAGTACTAGAGGAAGAGGCCGTGGCAACAGCACGACGTCTCTCGTAGAGGGCTGCCCTGCGTAGCAGCCTTTGCGTGCACGGACTACAAGGTGCAGGGAAGGACGCTAGACCGGGTGGCGGTGGAACTGCGCGGGACGAGGACGACCAACATCGGCGGCCAGGCGGTTCCGAGCACGTGCGATCCATACAGCCTGTACGTGCAGCTGTCGCGGTGTAGGACGCTGGACGGCATCACGCTCCTGTCCAAGGCGCGGGAGCGTGACTTTGTGGGCAACACAGTGCCCGAGGAGATGGCACAGGCGGAGCAGAGGCTGGAGCAATTGAGCGAGGAGACGATCCGGGCAGCGGAGTTACGGGGCTGGGCGGAAGACGATTTTGATTAAAAAA